TCTATCTATAGTAGGGCATAATTGACTGTAAAAGTTGTTTACCAACACAAAATCTGGAAAGTGTGGACTGCATATGTATTTGGTCCCCTTTACTATGAACCCTTTGACAAGATCCTATTTAATCATGACATGTGAGCTAAAGAGTAAACCATTTGTGTGTAATTAATCTTGTCATAGGGACATTAGTGAACAAACTGTCTAAAAGACTAGGAAACTCTCAGCTTCAATGGAAGAGAGCTGAAATGCAAGAAGATGTTGGCATGATTAGAAATTCGTTTTTAACATTCATCACATCATCCCATGATGGAACTAAGGGGTGACAGCATCGTGCTGTGGGGCAGCTGGACCCATCAGGTGGGGAAACGGACTAAATACAGTGCAATACTACTTATTTCCTAGAAGCTAAAAAGACTTAAGGTTTATTTAGGTTTGCATTCCAACATGACAGCAAGCCTAAACATTTAGACATTTCTGCAGGAAATGGGTTTAATATTTTTGTGTGTATTAGAATGGCCCAGTCAAAGTCTGGATGTAAATCTGATGAAGAATCAGTGATGAGACTTGAAAACAGATGTACATAGATTCTATACATCCAATCTGACTGATATTAAGCTGTTTTGCCAAGAACAATATGCAACACTTTCAATCTTGAACTATATAGAAATGTAATTTATTTTAGACATTTTTTATAAGAACTTCTACTTAAATGGCATTCCCAGGCAGTTCCCCATGTCCAAGCCCTGGGGATGTCCACTCATTTGTCTTTACATATGAAAATAATCCACTTGGCAATTATATACTGCTTTGTGTCAAATCAAATTCTCCTAATAAACATTTGAAAGTTCAATGGGTAGAACTACTTTTTCAAGGCATATTACAAACTTTGTATAATTTGTTCCTTTTTTTTATAGGTGGTTTAACTCTGCTGGCTGTCCTCTCATTGATCATGGATGCCTTGAAAATTGGATACTTTGTCGGATATCAATCATGTTTGTCAGCAGTGCTCGCTGTATATCCTGTCATCCATGCAACACATACAATAGCACAGGTAACTTTACAGACCTGCTTTAATCTCAATGAGGTGATAATCTTTCATCTGTGTTTTACCAGCTGGGCCACAGTGTGCCACCAACGAACTCGGAATAATGTGCCCTTTGTTGTCGTAACACTATAATCCTCTCCTTTTTCATGTTATTTGAGTGTAACCTCATATGGCAAATTAAATCTGTGTGGTAAAGAGACTCAAACACTCAATTAAAGATTAGTTTTCATTTGGTTGATGTAACAAAAGCATTTGTACAGATTTATGAAGCTCTTGGAACTTGTTCTGTTGTGGTTTTTAAAAACTTTTCAAGCTGTGGTTTCTTA